GTTCCCCTAATCTCAAACACATCATTTACACAAATTTCATGTGTTCTACATTTATGTGCCAGATTTCTGGTACAGGTCGGAGAGGTCGGAGGTCGGAGATTTTATGGTATGGATTGTCTGCGACCCTCACAAATCAATACGGTCATAATTACAATATTCGGTAGATTTTTTCCGGGTCGTATTCGGGTCAGCTCGTGTTATTGGGCGAGCATGCTAATGGGTCTTCTTTACCGGTGCTCGTCGATATAGGTACTTATTAATATTCACTACAATTTTAAAGATTTCGCTCAGCTCCGAACGTCACCTGGGCTTATATATATTCGCATGTACTTCTAAAAACAACGATACCGGTACATTATAAGTACCAGCGGCTTTGAATCTGTGCACGATGCAGTTGAGTTGTGTTTATTTTTAGTAACGCACAAAGCACACTTTATGACCTATGTAGTGATCTCGTTCTTCATGCAACGTTTCTCAAAGTTACTCGTCTTCAATTTGCATATTTCTCTTTTCCAGTAACATGTGTAGGTAGCGTACTGAAGAAGACACGTCAGGGACACCAAGGCCTCCCAAAAATGCATCAATAGCGAGAACCAACAACAAAGTTCAACCACAAAGGTTTCAACAACATACGTGGTGCTTAAATCGCAAGACCATTTTCCAGTGCCGCATCTACCGTAGCACAGACTGCAAAGCGCGTCTTGCCATTCAAGCTGCTGTAGAAGGATACGAACTGGTGAATTCGTACACCTGTGTACAGCCCGTCTCATTCGCTACTGAGATCGTCGACTGCACAACGGCGATGAAGAATCCCTTTGACAGTCTCTCCACCTTTGACCTGACAAGACCTGTGCACGATGTCTGGAGGCAAGTTAGCCCCGAATTCTACCCGGACGACGATGTAATTTGGAAAGGGTTGACCAAAGAACAAGTTACAAGCCGTTAAATCGCGTTCGTCAACGACATTACGGAGTTTATTGTCTTGGATGTATCAAAATTCCTCCCATCTCAATGGAGAGAGCAAGATGCTAAGCTTCTTCCAGTTTCACTTATCGAGGCTTAGGACCGAGCCTACAACGAATCTAGACCGAATACTGGGTTGGCACATCCGGAACTTTGTTAGTTGCTGATGTACAGGGATGTGTCAATGTTACTTGATGGAACTTTCCAATGCGTTTCATTCGAGTTCAAGTAGTACATGGTTCTGCCTGTGCACGTCAATGCAAGCGAACTATTCGTACCCGTCTGCTTTGTACTGTGTAGCTCGAAGTCTAATGGCATATATTTCGACAATCTTGAGCTCGTATACGGAGACACATCAGAGAAACTGGGACCGCGCGTCGTGGTGTGCAACTTCGAGTTGCCGTAAATCAACGCGACCAAGAAACAATTCCCGAGTGCCGAATTTATCGGCTGCCTGTTTCATTTAAGCAATCCGTTTGGCGACGAATGAAGTCAACATAGCAGATTTCAGAGGTAGTGATCTGCGTTACAATGGAAAAGGGTGTGCTCGATGTGTTTGCTGTCATCGAGCCAGAATTAGTGCCTTCAAATTGTATTCGGTGGGTTAAGCGCACAATTCGAGCTCGATGTACTATTGCTGGTGTTGAATATACTCGTAGTAAATGGAAACTCTTCTGGGGCTATTTGAGCAAAACCTGGACGGAACGCTAAAACAATGAAGCGTGGAATGTCCCAGCCTCGACAACAACCTTGTGATAATGACAAACAATCCGCTGGAACAGCCCACCGTGAGCTGAACCAGACATTTCGAACTCCGCATCCAAACATTGCAATTTTCGTGCGATGACGAGGATGCCGAGCTATCCGCGATCGTGTAGAGATCATCAGAAGTGGTGTGATTTAGTTACCAGAAGTTAGTGTGAGCACAACCCCAGGACTAGCGCTGTGGTAAGGGCTAGAAGTAGTGAGCGTTCCGGACGGTACGAACTAGGGACTTCCTGATGCAATTGTAGTGCAGGCTACGCATGGACAGAACGAGTAAATCACACAGAACCAAGGTTTTACACATAGAAAATGTGACAACAACATACAATGTGGGTAATACACATCAATGTCACATTACACCACACAATATATACGTGTGGCACAATTGCATTGGCCAAAACACATCAAACTCGTGTGTCTACACACCACTTAATATTAGCGAATCACGACCTGTGTTTTGACAGTCGCTGAACCAATCACAGTCGTTTATATCCTAGCAAGAATCTTTTTCATACAGAAAGAGCACTGAAATCTGAACTCCCACTCCTCTTGTCTCCCACCTCGAAGATGCCCACGACGACCAAGTGAACGACTCTGATGCGACATGGCTCGAGAGGACTCCCAACTGCTCATGGAAGACATGAATGTGTTCATCATCGTTAAGAGTCAGCTGGTTCCATGCGTCGTGTGTGCGCTGACCAAGCCACACAAGATGCGGTACCAACTGTTAAGATGTTCCTCAGAAACATGCAAGGCAGCAGCACCGTATGACGCGTGCCATGGAAGGGGAAGGTTCTAATGTGTCAAGGACTTATCCGCGTGACGATCATGGAGACTGGTGCTCATGAGACGCTGGTGAAGGAGCCCCAAAAGGTCAAGTTGACTCCACGGCTGAAGGATTACGGTCGCGAAATGGCGACGCAAGGCCTCAAGCCCTCTCGAATTCGCAATGGAATGGCTCGACGATTTGGACTTACTGAGTCAGAGTTGCCGACGCTGCGTCAGGTGCAATGGTTCGTCAGCAGCTATTCGAAGAAGAACCTCCACCGCAATGACGACTATGACGAAAGCCTGAGCCAAATCGATCAGCTGGCGTATGGTCCGACCGTCTCGGACACGAACCATTTTCGTTTGGTTGGAAACGTGACGGCCGCGGCAAACCAGATGTGGGGAACGGCTCTGACGAAAAACAATTTTTAGTTGGGCTGACAACTAAACGTCTTTTACTGAATGCTTCTACTGAATGCGGCTCTCGACCCGGAGTCGTTCGTTTTCCACATGGATGCCACCTTCAAGTTGAACCAAGTCGGGTATCCTGTCATTGTGTGTGGGATCTCTGACAAGTGTCGCTCATTTCACCTCATGGCACTTTTCATTACGTCGCAACGCTTGGAGGACATTTACGTGACGGTGCTGACTGAACTGCGCAGGATTTTTGCT